GTAACACCAACTTATCTATCACCTTCATTCCGTCCATGACTGATATTTCCTCTGACTCTGCTGGCAAGGAGAGGCATGAGAATAGGCGTAAAGTAAAGGAAAGGGATGAAAAGAGAGGAAATGCTTGCGGCAGCACCCAAGCCTATACCAGCAGCCCCTCTCTCTGCTTCCTCCATGCCTCGAGTCCTTACCCCCACACACATACACCACCGCAGTATCCACGGAGTGATTTGCCTGGATGTCTGCCTGCTGAACCAGCTGCTCCCCATACCTCCCAGCCTATTCCACCTATGGTGCTGCACATGCCCACCATGGCATTTCCAGTTAATGTGGGCCCCAATGCGGCCAACCAGCCATGGATACCTACCCCTCTTGCAGACCTGTCTTTGGTCCATAAGGCTGCTAATGAATCAGGTCCTGACTCGACGTATTTTGAGCAAGTCCTACTACAATGGGCAATGCATTTACAGACTTATTATGACTGGCACCATTTGATGAAGGCTGTGTTTGAGCCTGCAGTCTTCCTTAATTGGCATGCTGCCTATGATGACCAGGCTGAAGCTCAGTCTTGTTTTAACGTACAGTACAACTTTGCTGTTTTTCTTGAGATGCTCACAGGCCGAGGACCATATGTTAACCCTGTCATACAAGCCCAAATTGAACAACATGCTTATTTACTTGCCTCAGGAGACACCATTGCCCTTGGTGCATTGGAGGGATCCCATCACCCTTCAGTGGCAACACTCTGCTCCCCTATTAACCTGGGGGTGAGGGTATGCTTGCATTTTTCCCCAGAATACCACCACACCGATATGGATACCCTCCAGAGATGTGCATCCGGCAACAGACCAAGAGACTTTGGACAAAGAAGCTTCAGAGAGGTAATGTATGATTTGCCCTGCTACTGTGGCATTAGTGAAGGTCATATCATCACTGGCATGTGACCCTAGATATCAAGCAATTGCCTCACCCCCTACAAGGTCGATAATACATCACCAGAAAGACTTTAATTGGTACATTTCATATAAATATGACTAAGGGTACCATCCATGTCCTTGAGACTAAATTTTTAACTAATCCTTCTCTTGTTCAAATATCTTCTGCAACAGTTTCACCAACAGAAGGCAGCCACAGAACTGACCCTACAGGTTTTATTGGCTCTCAGACACCTAGATCAAAGTGCTCCTAGAGAGATAATGTACACATGGATCACTGAGATACAGAAGGCTACTGCCTAAAGCCCACCACCACCCAGACAACTCTCCAGGATTGATGCTTTTCCAGGGCTGGTAGTCAATGATAGATATGATCTTGTTTGGCAAGCCAATCTAAGACAGGCACTGTCCATTATGCTGAGCTCTCCTGAGGTGGGGTCAACAAGGTTCGGGCAATGCACCCTAGCTCCCACTGAGCATGTCCTATAAAATAATAAAAAGGGGTGGATGTGTGGGATGACTCATCCCTAACGGGCTTGAGGGCCAGACAGCCCAAGCAAGTAAAAAAGATACTTTCTGAGAGCCAGCCTGGGTCTGCCTGATGGTCTTAGCAACAGCAGCTGAGACATGATATGGAGATGACCTGGACCAATGAGAGGCAGCCATGTCACACCAGCAGATGCATAGTCATCAGACCTCCCCCAGGGTGGAGTGGAGGGTATATAAAGCTTGCCTCTTCCTGAATAAACTAAGCTTGTTGTTCGGACATTCTCCCAGAGTCTGTGTGGTTTGACTCTGCGCCTACTTGGCCCCTCCCCCAAAGGGAACAAGGACCTTGCCACACAGAATGAGAAAGATCTGGCAGGCGAAGCAAACCAGCAATCACTCAGGCCCAGAACCAGGCCTATGAGTTGGCCCCTCCCATCATCCACCCCTTGTATGATCTGTGGGAGCATGTGAAAGGGCCAGCCCTACAGACCCAAAGTTTCAGGATCTCCATGACACAGGACAACAACAGGATATCCAAAAGGAGCCCCAGTGAGCGCCCAGTGTCAATGGTGTAGCAAAAGCCAGAAGTTTTGAAACCAGATGAGTGACTCATTTGCAGTGATATGTGGACTAAAGAATGTGTGACTCACTGTGACACACTATGGATTCCATGATAAGACTGTTCTTTCCTTTTCTTTTGAAATCTGTTTTGTTTTATCTTGGTGGGGAGGTTGAAGGGTAGTGGGCAGAAGGGAAGGGCTAGAGAGATGAGTGATATCAAGATGCATGATGAGAAATCCACAAAAAGTCAATAAGAAATTAAATTGGGAAAAATCAAGCAAATAAACAAACGAAAACTAATATTCTCATTCAAACTGTAGTAGAATTCGGACAATGGAGTGTGGACATACCAGAACATGCTTGGTAAATCCAGAGTAAATTTGAGACAATGTCCTTGAGTCTACTGACTCCCTGTCCACACTTGCCCAGACACTTCCTTTCTGCAACCCCTCCTCCACTCCCCCTTCACTGGGTCCCCACACCCATCATGCCTCCTCTCTACCTCCCTGGTATGACGGACACTACTTCTACTTCCCTCCCTACTGCCTGCTTTATTACATGCATCTCCCGTTGTTACCACCTCAAGAGCTTGCCTACCACCTCCACAGAGAGCAGCAGGGACCCCCACACCCCCGCTGTCACACTGCACCAAATACTCACTTTACAAAATGTCTTATTGACACTAACCCCTCATTCCATGTTTCTCTAGGATAAGGGACATTCAAAACCCTCATCCTACTTGTACATCTGAGCCAACACTGACTGGAACCTCCCCATGTCCCGAAGCACACGAACTCAGTCAGTCGCGGCAGGAAAACACAGAAGTCTATGGCCTGCCATGAATCCAGCATTTGCAGGAACAGAACAAGTTCCCAGGAGCCTAAGACCACACTACCAGGCCAGTACAGATAAAGATGCCCTTCTCCAATGTCGCACAGTGTCCTTAGATACTGAAGTTCTCCTCACCATTCTCTGATACAGTTCTCCCCAGGGATCCCACCAGCCTCTGACTCTCCACACACACCAGATTCTGGCACATTCCCATTGCACTCCACCAAACAGGCACAGACTGAGTTCCCCTCTCTTCCCAGTGCTCACCTTCACAGGACACCCAACCCCAAAACAGGCACAGCAACAGCAGTTGGGCCAGGATTATGGCATTCCATGACAGTGCCACCTCCACTGGTCTTATGATCTTGTCTTGAACAGAAAGCCAGGAGTTTCCCAGCTTTATCATTGCTTGAAGATGGAGCCAGACTCAGTCTTTCTCTTGCTCATGACTGCCTGACTCCCATGGAAACTTTGAGTGTTATATAGATGAGTGGAGGTGGAGAAGATCTTGAAGCTGAGGCTCCTCTGGGAGAAAGGGCAGCTGAGGCAGGCTTAGGATGCTGTGGATGCTGAGAGTTCCTGATGAGTTCTGGCAAGTCCGGTCCTGTTCCATGTGCAAAGTGTGATGCAATTTCTTACAGAGTGTCTTTTGCACTCTGTAACACGTAGAAAGTAATCCTTTCATGACATTTTGGACAGGAATCTAGAAGTGTTAGATTCTCCCCCCACCAGAGCAGCTGCATGTTGTGGAAGCATTCCTGCTGAGCTATACCTGGTAGAGCTGGCTCCCATGCCATAATTCATCTTTTGTTTGGCAGATACTTGTTTCTTTTGGCCCTATAAAAATCTTGTCTGAGAATCTCCAAAGAATACCAAGCTTGTGCAAAACTTGGTTCAGGAAATCTGGGAAAACTGTGGTACCTGATAAATTGAGAAATTTGCACTTGGCATTGTATTTTTGGAAGCTTCTTTCAGGTTGTTTTGAACATATGGAAATCAGCTGGCTAATGTGTAAATATGGAGAAAAATAAAAATGCCCTGGGCGAAGGGAAAAGGTTTCAGTTCTTAGAGACTGATACCCCCTGCAGCCACAAAAGACTAGATTCATTCTTAAGGTGCCCTGGAGTCTTCAATCAACGGACCTGCATGAACCCACACACCTGTGCTGCCCATGAGGTGCACACCAACCCTCTGTGTGTCTTGAGTGCAGGGGACACTAAAAGGCCCATCCCCACTCCTTGCATCCTTTCCCAGCTGCAAACACTCCACCCCCTCCCCAGAAGGCCAGTCACCCAGCTCTGGGATAAAGAGCTTCCAGTTCCTTCCTGTAGCAGCTTCCTGACTTCACTGTAGTGGTCAGTGCACCCCAATACCCATGTGCCCCCAAGCTGACAAGGAAGCCTCCCCAGTCTGTGACCACACCACTTAGGTCAGCCAGGGGCATGTGTTACAAAACTGCTAGCCTCACTCAGTCTTCAATTTGTTAAGTATCCCTCTCTCTTCACTCCCACAAGAATTTTCCAAGAGTGTTCTCAAGCTCCCTGACTCACTCCTTACCCCTCCTCTCCTGACAAGGATGAGTCCCACCCTGCTCAAAGGTTACCCTCCACCCCCTCCCCCCACCCTCAGGGAGGAGGCAGGATTCCCCTGAGTTTTCCAGAAGCAGCTAGCTGTAAGACCAACAGTAAAGCCAGGCTTCCATCCTGTCCCGAAAGGTTCCTGTGGCAAACAAACCCCTCACTTCTTAGCTCCACGTATTAGCTCCACATAACAGACCTACCATCCCTCCCTTAGTCCTCATGGCCTCTGAGAATGTCCCTGGTCGCTCTGTCTCCCCATGTAGCCCTTTTTCTTACTTTTTAAGGTTAGATGAGTATTTTGCATCTGAATGTCTAAGGGACATTGATATCCCTTACACCTACAAATGCCCCCTAATATTTCCAAATGAATCATCAACATAAAGAGTTTGAGCATAATGCATGTTAAAGGATGTTAAAAGCGTTGAATCCTTGTGCCTTCTGTAATAAGTCTTGGGCTGGCAACAAAGGGGAATTGAATTTGAGATGACCACAGCCTAGGACAGTAATTAATTGCCTGAGTGTTAATAATAAATCTAAATAAACATTCTTATTACACCATATATCCTGTAAATAACTTTTAATTTTATTTCTTTTTTATCTGCATTCATTATAGGTTAAAGGGGTAAAACATATATGTAAAGCCAGCAGGGCACTGTAAACTGATGTTATACTGTGTAACATGAATCCTAAAAGGTCTTATTAATTAAAACAAACCCAAGGGCCAGGTTTTGGGGTGAATGCTGGAACATCAGAGAGACAGAACACAAGCCACAGCTAACCTCACCTCGCCAACTTCTCAGCCGATCCTGTTTCCTCAAACTGGAAGCCTCTTGAGTCCTCACCTGAATGGATCCCAACTGAACCACTGCTGAAAGCCTAAAAGCTTAAAAGCCTCTAGTTCCTGGTCTTCACACCTTATATACCTTTCTGCTTCCTGCCATCACTTCCTGGGATTAAAGGCATGTGCCACCATGCCTGGCTCTATTTTCAATGTGGCCTTGAAGTCACAGAGATCCAGATGGATCTCTGCCTCCAGAATACTAGGATTAAAGGTGTGTGTGCCACCATTTTCTGGCCTCTATGTCTGTCTAGTGGCTGTTCTGTTCTTTGACCGCCAGATAAGTTTATTGGGGTGCACAGTATATCAACCACATTTCCCCTTTTTGTTTAAAAAAGTTATAACTAATATAAGATAAATTATATACAATAAGTATATGCAATATATACCATCAAGAACTACATTAAGCATTCGAAGGATTGTTTTTGAGACTATGGATAATGCCCTGGGAGTAATAACTAATGTTTTTCTTCGTTGTTTATTGTTGAACCAATAAAGTCAGTAAACCCTAAAAAAATTAAATTAACAATGTCCAGCCCATTAACATTTGACAGATTCAGACAAAACACTCCATTCTATATATTAACAATGTCCAGTCCATTAACATTTGACAAATTCAGACAAAATATTTCATTACTTAGCCTATTTAAAACAAGTAGTTCCTTTTTAAAAGTAGATTCAATAATCTACCATTATATCTTATCATATACATATTCTCTCTTTTATTCTGAGTAGTTTCAAAAATCCACCTTTTATCTTATCATTTCTATATCTTCTTCCCTTTTTTCTTTTCAGAGTAAATTCAGTAGTCTACCTTTTTTTATATCTTTCTTTCTCTTTTTCTTTTTCTTTTTTAAACAAGAAGCCCGTGTCTAATCTCCTTTGTTTAGGTTTTTTTTTCCTGACCGTTAACAATTAACAACTTGCAACAAACCATCGTAAACAATGACAATATCCATAACTCATGAAACAATCAAAAAACACCCACCCCACTTCTTGGGAATGTGGGCATCTTGTTCTTAAAATTCCTTTTTGCTGTTTGGGGGTGAAGGCATCTTTAGGGGATCCTGAAAAGAAAAATTTTGGGTTAATTGTCAAGCCTTGGGAGAGTTAGCTGTATCATTTGTCCAGTCTCTGCATAATGGGAAAGTGCAGGGCTTGTCTTAAGTCCTTGCTAAAGTAGTCTGTGAATCTGGATCATCTCAGCTAGCCATCTTGAAATTGTCCTGGGCAGTTTGTAGTCCAAAGCCAATCTTTGGGTGTTATTAATCAGCTTAATGGCTTTATCATAGGCCATGTGGAATTGTCATCTTTTTGGAGATTTCAAATTTGCTGTTAGGCATGGTCATGGTTTGCTGCAGAATTTGTGTGTGTGTGTGTGTGTGTGTGTGTGTGTGTGTGTGTGTGCCTCCTCTGTGGTTTGGAGCAATCTTAATTGTATCTGTGCCAGAATTGTGTCTCACAGCCAGTCCCAAGTTTGCAATACAACAGGTTCCATTCTTTCTCACCAAGACATGCTTTGATTTCAAATCTCTGTGAGCAATGGCTGGCCTTCCTTGGGCACCAACAATCTCCATGGGACCGCTTGCCATGGACAGAGTGAGTGCGATCATTTCTTCCACTGTAACAGGGTATCTACTCAAGTCATCAAAAAGGGATCCATGCTCATGGTAATCGGACACCAGCCACAGCCGAGTCCATGTGCCATTGTCTCTGTTGTCTGCTGCTATAAATCCTAGGGTGTTTCCATGGCATAACATCACAGTCTGATAAATGTCTGCCTCTTGGAACCATAAACATTCTTCCCTAGAAGAGAACATCTTCACCGCAACTTCTCCCCACCACCTGCCTTGTCAAACTTCTCCAAACTGACCTTTGCTGATGCTTTCTTGTAATAAGATGGTCCTGGCAACTGTTCTCTGAACAAGCAGCAGTAAATCCTTGGTCCCTGGTAGAAGCAGCACCATAGCCACCAACACTATGAGAAGCAGCCAGCAATGCAGAGCCGACTCCATGGTCCAGTTGCCACTGTTGGTGGCCCAGCCCGGCCTCAGCTGCAGCTTCTCCTCAGCAAGTCTCCTAGGCTGGCCTCAAACTGGGGATCCTCCTGCCTCTGCCTCCTTCAGCAAATCCTACCAGTGTGCACCACCACAATTGGCTGCATGCAGCTTGGGCCTGGGCTGGGGAATGTAAGGCCACAGGTAAGCGGCTTTTTCTCAAATTCGGACCTTGAACGTGGGCGACAGGTATAACACGAATCTTAAAATGTCTTATTAATAAAATCAAACCCAGGGCCAGGTTTTGGGGTGAATGCTGGAAGATCAGAGAGACAGAACACAAGCCACAGCTAATCTCACCTGGCCAACTCCTCAGCCGATCCTGTTTCCTCAAACTGGAAGCCTCTGAGTCCTCACCCGAATGGATCTCAGCTGAACTACTGCTGAAAGCCTAAAAGCTTAAAAGCCTCTAGTTCCTAGTCTTCACGCCTTTTATACCGTTCTGTTTCCTGCCATCACTTCCTGGGATTAAAGGCATGTGTCTTTCCCAAGCTAGACATAAGATCTCAAATCCTGGATTAAAGGTGTGTGCCACCATGATGTTGCTTGTACTGTATCTCCTAGGTGCAATACCACAGTTTCTAAAGTGTGCAATGAAGCTTTTATGTATGTGTCTATACATTCTTGTGCTGCCAAAGCCACAGAAGTATTAAAGCAAGCTGATCAACAAAATGGGCAGTGTGTACTTGCTGGGTCAGGGCCACGGTGGAAGCAGCTGCAGAAGTTATATCAGTGAGTACTGCAGAACTGTTAGTTGAGATATGATCTAAAAACCTTCCTTTTTGTAGAAAGATCCTGTTGTAGTTCCCAGAGAATTCATTGCTCAAAATCACATGGTGTCTCATCAAGCTGCACAGGAGCCATAAGAAAGGCTGGGGAAGCAAGAGAGGCCCTTAGGAGCAGAGGAAGTTCATTCAATACATGAGATACAATCGATGCAAGTCATTTTGAAGTGTCCCCCACCCTCTTAAAAAGAGGAACTCCCAGTCAGTAACATACATGAAGGGTTAACACAGGCAGTGAGTCCAGTTATAAATTGATGTCCATGTTGTAATTTCTCATTCTCTCCAAATGTCCCATCAATGCTCACACTGCCTGGGGCTGTGGCTAACAACCAAAGCTCTGGCAGATCCTTTCCCTCAGGAGATACTATAATAGGATGTGGGCAATGGAGGGGTCCTAGAAAGTTGTCTTCATCCAGACCCTCTGGGTATATTCAGGAAAAGTCATCCAGTTGACCGGTACCTCAGGTTGTTCACTCAGAGGCACAGAGTTCTTTGGAGCCCAGGAGCACACCACCCAAGGGGGAATTCCACTCTCAAACCAAGTCACCAGACTCTCACTGCATACTGGGAAATGTTCACCCAATGGGGTAACATGTGGATTATTAGAGATTGGAAAACTCAAGTGACGAATAAACTACTGATGTCTGAAAAGACTATATATCCAACCCCTAGTAGATCTCAAAGCCATAGGCCTAATAGTCCACTCAGATCTGAAGGACACGTCTGTACTGACCCACCATTAATAAATAAGAATGGTGAATGATACCCCAGTACAGTTAGAGAGAACAGTGCAGGCCCCACATGGGAAACATCTAGAACAGTGGTTCTCAGCCTTTCTTATTTTTTCATTTTTTTTTTTTCTTGACAGGGTTTCTCTGTGTAGCTTTGGAGTCTTTCCTGGAACTCACTCTGTATCCCAGGGAGGGCTCACACTCAGAGATCTGCCTGGCTCTGCCTTTTGAGAGCTGGGATTAAAGGCATGTGCCACCACTGCCCAGCTCGGTTCTCAGCCTTTCTAATGCTGCGATCCTTTAATACATTTCCTCATGTTGTAGTGACCCTCAACTATAAATTATTTTGTTGATATTTCATAATTGTAATTTTACTACTGAAATGAATCATAATGCAAATATCTGATATGCAGGATGTCTGATATGTGACCCCAAAGAGGTCATGACCCACAGGTTGAGAACCACTGAAGAAGACCAGTTACCTCAGTCTGATTCTTGTAAATGTCATGTAATGTTTTAAAAGCCAGATATTTAAAAATGAACCTTGATTTAACATACATTATAGTCATTTTTTAAAAATTAATTAATTAATTTTACATTGGGACTGCAGTTTCCACTCCTTTCCTCCCACCCCCTCTCCCCGACCCTTTATTGTGTCCCCCAGTGGATCCACTCCTCTTCCATTTCTATTCAGCAAAGGGTGGGGGATATTGACAAAACACGGAATATCAAGTTAGAGTAAGACTAAGCACTTCACCTTGTATTAAGGTTGGGTAAGGTGACCTAATATGAGCAGCAGGTTTCCAAAAGCCAGCAAAAGGGTCAGAGACAGGCCCTGTTCCCACTGCTAGGAGTCCCATAAGAAGACCAAACAAAACAACTGTCACATCTATGCAGAGGGCCCAGGTCAGTCCCATACAGGATCCCTGGTTGTTTGTTCAGTTTCTGTGAAATCCTATGAGCCCAGGTTAGTTAATTCTGTGGGTTTTCTTGTGATGTCCTTTACCTCTCTGGTTCCCACAATCCTTCCTTCCTCCTTTTAGAAGGATTTCCTGAGCTCTGCCTCAAGTTTGATTGTGGGTCTGCATCTGTTTCCACTAGTTGCTGGATGAAGCCTCTCTGATGACAATTGGGCTAGGCACCAATCTATGAGTATAGCAGAATATCGCTAGGTATCATTACTTTGATTTTTCTCTACAGTCCTCTTTGGTTCCGATCTCTCTGGGCCATCTAGCCTCTGGGTCCTGGCACTCCAGGCAGTGTCAGGGGTGGGCTCATTCCTTTGGCATGGGTCTGAGGCTGGACCAGTCATTGGTTGGCCACTCCCACAATCTCTATATCACCCTTACCCCAGCACATACCATAGTCAGAACACAATGTAGGTCTAAGGTTATATAGCTCAGTTGGGGTCCAGACACCTACATTAGAAGTCTTGCCTGGTCACAGGAAGTTGCCAGTTCAATGTAGGATTCCACTATTGCTAGGAGTGTTAGCTGGGATCATCCTTGTAGATTCCTGGGAGTTTCCTTTGCACCAGGTTTCTACTGACCCTGAAATACCCCCTTCCCCATTGGTTCTTTCAGTACTCTCCCCCAAACCACCCCACCTGATTCCCGACCCCACCCCCACCTTGATTGGACATATGTAAAGTCACACACCCAGTTTTCTTTAATTGTTAATCTCAGACCTTAGAAATGAATATCATACATATTATTTTTAAGTCTTATCCTTAACTACATTAAGTGTCTTACTCACACCTTTGTAACTTATGAAAACCTTTTAGTTTTTCAGTCTATAATCATATATCCATATAATCTTTATACATCAATCTTTATTCATTAAATAATTTGAATCATTTTATAACAACTTACCATTTTAATGCCATATCTCATGTTTATAACATCTTTATTTTTAAAACCATCATAGTAATATACATAGATCTCCCATTATTATTTTTTTTTTAAATTGGTTGGGAGGGCCTACTCACCTCCTTTTAGTGAAGGAGTATTAACATTCAACAAATTTTGTTGTGTTCATTTTAGGCTGCCATGGCTGAAGTTAGGAGGATGGTAGTGCACTTAGATGATAGACTAGAAGTCCTGTATTGGATCTTCAGAGAGCCATTTGATTATTAATACGGACTTAAAGACACCACAGGAATTAAAATATCTTCAAAATCTTTAAATGTCTGTATTTATGTATACATATACTGCCTCAACCAGATGTTTCATGAATATCTTTTCAGGATAAGTTTCCATGTATGAATCAAGATGATTATTGGAATAGACATCATCGTCTGGTGAATTGCCTGCCTCTTAATCATGTTTTAAGTTACCAGGTCTCCTTCTGTGTTGTTTGGCTCTTTGCTTTCTGTGTATTTGCTGAAGAGATGGGAACATTTGTGGTTTGCCACAATCTGGACTTTGCTGTGGGTGTCCTGCCTGCTTTCCTGTCCCTGTGTTTCCTAATGTATCTAAGAACACATGGGAAGCAGCACCGTACATCCACCAGGGGGCGCTGCCTCCCTAGAGCCGGAAGGTTAACAGGTCCTGGGGTCCTTCCCTTCACCAGTGGGGCAAAAAGTCGCTTACGTGACTTCACCTTTCCACCTGTACAACTTACAAAGAGAAGAAAAGGCCTGTCACCCTCTTTCACACCCTGCAGGGATGCTCACCTGGTCTCTTGCTGTCCTGTGTGTTCTTGCTGCTCTAGGCACTGGCTAGAAATACCAACATGGCAGGAAAAGCAGAAGCTGTAAGAGCAGAAGCTGAGCTGGTGGCTTTACCAGTTTTCCTGGCTTGAGGTCCTGGAGAGCACCAGAAAAGTTATAGTGATTGTATTCCACAGGGGCTTCCCGACCCTGCCTCCCCGCTTCCCCCTTAGAGTGATGCTTGCCCCATTTACTCACCAAGGAGTGTAGGGACATCGATGTTTTGGCTTCGGTGCCTCAGGCGACAGGTAAAGTGTGGTTCCTGTCCAGGAGGAACCCAAATAGACACCCAGGTCTGGAAGGTCCCATCCCCACTGGGAAGGATGGTCCCAGGGCCAAAGGAATACTGCTGTGCCGGCTTCCCATCCTGAAGCCAGGCCAGGGTGGCCTCACGAGGATACAAATTAAAAGCCCGGCACGTCAGGGTGATCCTGCCCACTGGGTATGGCCTTCTGGACACTGTCACCTTCGGGGGACCTGAGAGAAGATAAAGGGAGTCAGTGAGGTGAGGACCTTTCTATCTCTACATGGAGTGTAGCCCAGAAGAACCACCCCGTTCATATTTGCTTCCAGCCTCCCCTCCTTAGATGGCACAGCTCCCAGTGGGTATAGGACTGTGGGAGGCTGGGGCTAGGCTCCACTGGCCCTTGATGCTCTTGAGGATCCGTCCCTTCTTTACATGCTGATGATGAGAGGACATGGTGTCCCTGCTGTCACGGGCCAGCAGTCCCTCTTTCCAGCACAGGTCACAGATGAACAACAGGCACTGAGAGGACAGAGGCTCAGTGCTTATAGGGGCCACAGATCAGACCGTGGTGGGCTGTGCCTCTTCTCTAGGACAAAGCCAGCTCCGCAGTCTCTAGGGGACAGGTGAGGGACTCTCTAAGTACAGTCAGCTGACTGTGGCCATGATTCTTTGTTCCTGGAGTTGGCCAAAAACTGATGACTGGTCTTTTTTCCTCCACAAATATCCTAGGACATTCTGTTATTATCTGTTACAAGATTTAATCAAAGCTTTAAACCTCACACTTCAGATCCCAGACAGGTGCATTATCATAACACTAGAAAGGTAGAGGCAGGTGGTAGGTGAATTATGAGACTCTGTTTTCTAAAAAAGACAAGCCAAATAAAAAATTAAACTTGATCTTTTAAATATTTTAGAATTATTTACTTTATTGTATGTATATGAATGTTTTGCCTGCAAGAATGTACATGTACCACGTGTAACCTAGTGCTTACAAATTCAGCAAAAGGTATTGGATCCCCTAGAACTGGAGTGACAAATGATTTTAAGCTCCCTCATGGATACTGGGAATTCACCCTGGGTCCTCTGCAAGATCAACCAGAGCTCTTACCCACTGAGCTATCTGCTAAGCCCCAACTTGGGGGTGGGGATGGCAAAGACACAGGTTAGAAACAAAGCATGTCAGAGTGTGCCACCCCACTGCAGAACTGTGGTGGGTCACAGTCATCTCCTGCACACCTGCTGAAAGATGAGGCAGAGCTCAGTGAGGCTGAGGACCCCAAAGGCCTTTCCTGGTGAGAACCTGAGGGCAGGAACAACCAGTTATTATGTAGTATCACCCTGTGGATGTTTTCCAGCCTCCTTTCCCTGGGAGACAGGCCACCTATGGTCAGATGAGTATATGGGATTCTCACACAGCTCCATTGGCCCTGACAATCTATGGGTGTCAGCCTCCACCTACCTGGAGAACTTGAGATGATATGAAGATCTTACCGTCAGAGGCCAGCTGATCCAAGCCTGTGATGCAGAAGACTTTGTAGACGCTGATGGGACAAAGAGCTTCTTTGGTCTACATGGGCTCGACACCTGACCTCAGTAGACTGTAGCTCCTTATGCCACAGAAAAAAAGAAAGCCTGTTCTGCATGTTCTAAGGCACAGTGAGGGACCAGCCTTCCTAGGACAGGGAACTGACCGGGGTCCTGATGGTTTGCCTAAGGCTTCAAGATTTCCCCTTGAAGTTCCCTGGATGGTCAGTGGTTTCTTCATCCTGACTACCCTCTCACCACACTGGTTTCTGTGGACACTCTGTAGGGTCTCTGTGTACATGATGCCCAGCAGAGAGTGTGGATCACAATAGGCAAGAAGGAAGTCTGGTTGAACACTGAGCAGTAGCCAGTGTTTGTTCAAACTTTGAGAGTCTGATCCCGGGTAGTTTGTTTTAGGTATTTTTAAGTTCAGTACAATTGGAAAAAAAGATTGCTGGTGATAATTAACTCAATCCTGTGTGCACAATGAAGCTCAATGCATGACTATATCAAAAGTCTTGTAAAGTACCAGTGACATTGTCCATAAAAATAGATTCTATAGATTAACTGAAAAATCTACAGATTAACTGAAAAAAGAAACAAGTTCATGATGAAGGTCTAGAGGAGGATAGTGTTGTAGATTGGATGAGTCAAACAAGATTAAGATAAGGGTCTTGGGGAGCCTGTGTGCCCTGATCATACAGATTGCTCAAAGATCAGGAGGCTCTTACCCTTGTCACTCTGCTCCCAAATTCCTGGGTGAAAAACATCTCTCCCTTTGGAGAGACAACCCTTTGTGTTCAACATTCTCCTGATTCCCAGATGCTTATCAGTGAGCACAAGGACCCAAAGGCCCACTACTGCTCTGTGTTTTTGACACAAGTTTAAATTGAAGAAGCAGCACTGAACTTGATCTTCCTTAATCAAGACCAGAACAAGAGCAGAATGACTTTGACCCATGACACAGAATAGGTTGTGAACCAGCTCCAGGGGCAGAAGTCTCCCGTCTCAACTCCCCATCATGATGACCCCATCTAACGGACAGGACTCCACACACCCAGTTGTCTCAGTTCATCAAAGTGAGCATCCCAGAATGTGGGGCAATCTGATGAAATCTAAGATTGCTGACATTTGGGGACTTATAACTATGGACTTATGTCAGAGACACCTAAGCTTCCCCACTTAAGGTGCATAACAGAGGCTCTAGAGGAGATTACTCACACTCCATCTCAGTGTCACCTTAGACTATGTGATGCTTGTCTAATTTAGTGAGAATGCAGTACCTCATAAGCACTGTGGTAAGTTGCAATCAGACTCAGTGAATGGACCCACCCACCAATAGTCATACCTGTATCCATCAACTGGTTCTCCAAATAAATCAAATGTCTCTGGAGATGATCAGGACATATGTCATTCAGAAAAGTCTTAATTTGATCCACACTGGGGACATGTTCCTCCCAGAATGTCTTGGATGAGTGTGCTGAAGGCACGACCACTTTCCATGTTGGGATCTTCTGGTCAAAGGTGAGGAAGTCTTGCCCATCATAGCCCAAGCGCCAGAAGCCTCCAGTGTTGTTTCCTTGGGTTTCACAGCCAAAAGTTGCCTGAAGGGTGTGAATGCCTGGCCATACCAGGCAGAGACTTGTCACCTTATTTTTAAGGACCTTATTTCTGTCTTAAGGTGAGTTGGGCACATCCTGTGACCTCTCAGGATTCAGGTCCTGCATCCCTCACAGAAGCATCACTGGTTTATTCAATCATCCTAGCTGTGTCCAGCTCCAACCCTGACTTTAGAGACCAGAGTTGAATTCTGTGCTTCTGTCCCTGCCTACTCACCTCCATGCTGGCCCTTCTGGGTCATGACCTCAGTCAGCATCCTCACGAGTTGCTCCTCCTTCTCCTGCAAGTCCTCAGTCTCTCTTGTCCAGATCTCATCTCCTCCTTGTCTCTTGATCCTAGGCCCCCAGGGCTCTGCTCTTCTCCTGTAGCCATCATAGCGCAGGAAGAGCACATTGTCAATGTATCCCTGGGCCCTGAATTCGAACTCCCTTGACCCCTCCTGAGACAAGGCCATGAGGTCATAGTGTAGAGTATGGGTTCCTGAGAGAGGAAGAGAAAGATGACACAATTAACAAGTTGATGGTTTTCATAGTCAGCTCTGCCTTGAGGAATTGAGCTCAGACTGTATTCTGTTGCTGTGTGAGTGTGAGAAGCCAAGAGGAGTGTTTTGTTAGAGCATGAAAGAGAAAAGAAATGAAGAGAATGAGTGAGAGTCAGAAGGAGAGATTGTAGTAGAGAGATGTAAAATGTCCTTCTGGTGTCTGAGGTCCTGGGAACCATGAAGCCATGGTGCTCTGGGTATCTTCTGCTGCCACCCAGGGCCCTGGTGTTGTCTGGGCCTGGGCTGCTGCTGCGGGTCATGTGTGTGTCTGTGGCCCTACAGCAGCCAGGGTCTGATTCAATGTCTGTGGCCCCTATTGCATTTGAAGACCATGTGGCTGCCTGGTGTCTGATTCCTCTTTCTCTCTTGCTATATGTCTCTGTAACTTTAACACTAACCAATAATATTCTGATAGAAGAGTACTAAACACTATAATATCATAGTTACAAGCTCTGGATTTTAAATTCCCTTTGCTTGCTTCTTAATATGTCTAAAATTTCTCTCTTTTGTAAACTTAAAAGTTCTTCTAAGCTCCATGGAGTTGGCTTGGACCTACCTGGACAGGTCAGATTCACTCCAGATAAGTATCACTTAATCTTTCCATGGTCCCAGGACCCACCTCCCTCAACCTGGAACCCGTCAGGGATGCCCCCTCACCCATCTTTCCTTCCCCTCCAAGTACCAGGATCTAAGAAAAATTTTTCTAAACTTCATCTTCTGCCTCACCAGCATCTTGTCCGGTCCAAACTGTCAGATAGATCCAAGTGGCACCGGAGGATGATTCCACAGAGATCAAACAGCTGCAAAGACAATCAGCTACCTCAGGATGACTGGATAAGCCCTCCCCCACCCCCAATAACTAATGGCCACCACATCAGCTGGAAGCAGTTTTGAGAGACCTGGTAACCCCATTCCCATCCACCTGCCACCCCTAACCCCTCACTTTTTATAGCAACAAAAAGGGTGGAATGTCATCATTCCCGACAGCCTCCTAGCCACTTCCAGAGTCCCATGACTGACCATGTGCTGCTAGCATTCTTGCAAAATGCTCTGTCACTCCAGGGCCTTATGTCCTACATAATCTATGCGCATGTGTGGTATGGTTACATAAGCTCCTATATGCATGCTGCATGATCGAGGTGATCCTTAAAAGCAGACTCCACCCATTTCCCACCCTTTACCGCACATTTCCTCTCTGGCAGGCTTGCTCACTTGCCCGTCTTTCCTACTTGCCCCCCCCAACCCCCGCCCCTTAATAAAACTCTTGAAGTGGATTTTGTTGTATCTTGTGGTCTGTTCTCTTGCCCAGTAAATAACAGGTAGATGATGGTTGGAGATCTGAGGAAATTATGTCAGAAGAATTCAGTTATCTGGTTTACAGGGGCTTTCAGCAAGTCCAGAGCTCACTGGTTTTGTGGTACTACCTGAAGCTGACATGTTGAAGGCTGTTTTGAAGCAATTTGCCATCCACAGTTGCTTACTGGATGGTATCTGTCAGCTGAGGTGACATCTGCTGGGACAGACTAGGGACAGAAGGGTAAGTTCAACAACTTAGGGAAAATCTTTATCTTGACTGTACACTTGAAACTTCCAGGGCTGTGGTCCTGGTAGTTGGGGAGGTGGAAGGAATCACAACATCGGGAGAGGGTGGGAGCCCAGGCTCAGGGAGAGGCAGTAGGCAGGAGAGCTTAGACTGTTGACTAAACAGTCTAAGTATGTATCTGTGTCCCTTTGACCTGTGACAGGTGGGTCCACGTTGAGACTCCCTGAAGTTACATGAGTTTTTTAAAGTTTACAAAAGAAAAGAGATAAAAGTTTCAGAAGCATCAGCATGACTGCTGTCTACAATCTGCATGAAATGTGGAGTGTAGAAAAATCAGTTAACATGTGTCTGTACCAGCTTGACCCTCCCATTTCCCTATTTTTTCATCCCCCACTCCTCACCCTCTGCCACCCCCCCTCCCAGTCCACTCATGTAGATCTCATCCACTTCTCCTTCAGGGGGTTGTGGTGGTATTTTACTTGTACTGAAATGTGATTTTAATTGTATGTTAATAAATAAAGTTGTCTGGGCGTCAGAGCTATTAGAGCCATAGCAAATGCGTGGCGGCGGTGGCACACGCCTTTAAGGACCTGGAGGGCAGTACATTCAGGCAGTGACGAGGCAGTCACATGTTTGGGTTTACAACCAATGAGAAGGCAGAACAGAAAGACTATAAAGACATACACACACAGGAAGTAGGTCCCTTTTCGGAGAGCTCTCTTGGCTGAAGAGGATCCCTGAATCAGGAAGGGTGAGGCTCTTAGCTCTGACCTCTTGGCTTTCTTCTCTGAATCGGCTCTGTGTTTCTTATTTAATAAGACCGTTGGTTACATCTGCATTTGGCGCCCAACGTGACAAGAATCCATTAAAAACCGCTTAACTTGGCTTGGAGGCAGGTCACGTTTCCCGCCAGGGCGGCCGGCTCCCTAGCCCAGGCCCAGGTCGGCTTGGTCTCAGGCCGGACTAACTTTGAGCTACTTGCTTAAAGCCGGTGCTACAGACAATTCAGGCCTGCCCTGCCGAACAGGGCCCCTGCCTGTAAAGCCAATGCACGTGGTTGGAGCTTAAGGTAGCCAGAGAAAGGCTTGACTAGGCTCAAGCGGGAACACGTGGCTGGATTCAAGCTCTTAGGCAGAACTTGCGGCTACGGTTCTTGGTGTTCTCTCTCTCTCTCTCTCTCTCTCTCTGGATTCACACCTCGGACACTAGGTGGCTGTTTTGAAATTCCCTCAGATTTGTACTGTTCTATGAGGACTTGGTAAGTCACTTAACATATCGAATATTTTAAAGGAAACTATTTAAAAGAGAAATTTTTTTCCACATTAAAAAATAAATGGGTTTTCTGTGTTCATTGGAAGAAAATTGGGCTTTGTTTGCAATTTTAGACAGTCTGACAATGGAACAGCTATATGAGAAGATTAATGTTGATCGAATTATGCATTTTATTACTATGCTTATTCTCATTTTACTATTTAAAAAGATAGTCAATTTAAGTGCCAGGATGACAGCTTTAGAAAAACTTGATAAACCTGTAAAAACTCAGACAGAAGAAACTAACAGTGAAGTTGCTTCAAGATTGGATCATAGGGTTACAGAAAGAAAGCCTGTTTTCACACAGTCACCCTTAGTTTGTCCAGTAACCGTATAGCAGTTGCCTGATCAAATGACTACACAAAATATTTGGGCTCCAATTGAAATGTTAGATTTACGAAGGTTTAAGGAGGCAATAGTATCTTATGGCATGCATTCCCCATATGTAAAGCAAATGTTAAACTCTTGGTCAACATATAATAGGATTGTACCACAGGATTGGCGGGAGCTGGCACAAGCTGGTCTTGAACCCAGTCAAAGGCTTCAGTGGCTAACTTGGTTCAAGGATGAAGCTAAAAATATAGAAAAACAGTGGAGGGATAAAGGAATACAAGTCTGCCAGGATCAGCTTATTGGAGAAGGTCAATATGCTTCAGCACAAGCACAATGTTTATATGATATCCAAACCCTAATTTTATGTCGAACAGCAGCCTTGAATGCGTGGGACAGAGTTGAGGAACCAGGAAAAAAAACTGAGTCATTTACAAAGGTTGTACAAGGCCCAAAAGAGTCTTTCACAGATTTTTTACAAAGACTGACTTCAGCAGTAAAGAGAATGGTCCTGGATTCAGAAGCTAGTAAGATAATAATTGAATCTTTGGCCTTTGAGAATGGGAATGCAGCATGCAAAACAATAATCAGGCCATTAAAGGCAAGATCTGCACCTTTGGAAGATTGGATTAGAGACACGGTTAATGTTGAAGCTCATGAGCATGATGATACGTGGGTAGGAGAAGCAATTTCAAAAGGTTTGAGGAATGTTAGATGTTTTGGATGTGGAAAGCAAGGACATTTGAAAAGGGACTGTAAACAGGTCATTCCTAGAAACAATGTTTCTTCAAGGAACAATGGCAACAGACTGTCCCTTCCTTCTGGAGTATGCAGAAGGTGTGGTAAGGGAAAACACTGGACCAACGAGTGTAGATCAACAAGGGACAGACAGGGTAATCCTTTGCCTCAGTCTTTGGGAAACTCCCAGAGGGGCCTCATGCAGGCCCCAATAACAAATCCAGTTCAAACCTTTCCTGCAGTCATAGAGGAAACCCCTACTCAGAGCAATTAAGTAACCAAATGCCTATTGGAATAAGTCATGCTGGTCAGGATGATGAAACAGAGAGAATAGAAAATTCAGGAGAAAACATAAAGAAAATTTTTTGGCAAACTTCTATTAATGAACAAAGACCAAAATTATCGATAAAAATAAATGGTGTTTTGTTGTCTGGTCTGGTAGACACAGGTGCGGACCTTACCATAATTGCACCAGAATTTTGGCATCCAACTTGGCCTCTTCAGGAGGTAAACATTCAACTGTTAGGAATTGGGACATTATCTCAGGTGAAACAGAGTGCAAGATGGCTCGAATGTATAGGTCCAGAAGGACAGAGAGCAAAATTAAAACCATATGTGGCTAACATACCTATGAACCTGTGGGGTCCAGACTTGTTACAACAATGGAATACTCAGATTAACATCCCTCCAATCTCAGAAACAAATCATAAACTAGCACATGTTTCTGAGAGAAATATTAGAAGGCATTATTCTGAGTGGTCACCAGCCATCCATATTATACAAGAACAGGGCACAACAACTGATGATCTTCCAAAAAAAACAACAGCTCTACCTTTAAAATGGTTAACAGACAAGCCTGTATGGGTCCAGCAATGGTCTTTAACAACAGAGAAACTCCAGGCTTTAGAAGAGCTGGTAGAAGAACAGTTAAATGCTCAGCATATTGAAGAATCAACCAGCCCTTGGAATTCTCCTGTATTTGTTATTAAGAAGAAATCTGGTAAATGGAGAATGGTA